GTCCTACAGTGTGTGGTGTACAGTCACACAGCAAGAGACAACACACAACACACCAAAAGATATTTCATTCATGAAAATGTCAGATATATAAAATCGCGCGAGACTTCCTGAAATCTCGCGAGAATTCAGATGTCCGAGGAAAAATCTCACGTGACCTCCAGAGACGTGAGTTCAGAGTAAATAAACATTTGCAACAAGGAATGCGGATCACTTGTGGACTATTTTTACCAGAGGAAAAACAATTCCATAGGACTTTTAACATCCAGCAGACTTTCTGGTGAGTCATGACAGTTTTTTGTCTTCTGTATTTTGGAATCCCCTCCGTGTTTACATCACCTCGCTTTCTGATTGGCTACACGTCTCATTCAACAGGCTGAGAGCTCAGGTGAACACTACACACACTGTGATGTCGGGCCAAAAAATCAAACATGTTGAATATCCCTGATTTGAGGTCGGAGCGGTCCCAATGTCCTTCTGAGCCGACGAGATCACTCTTAACTCACCACCCACGGCAGGAATATCTGCTCAGATTATCTTTAGAGCCATCATGATAATCTGGACTTCCTTAAGATTGTCGGAAAGGTAAAAATCGGCCTGATTTTCTTGTAGTGTGACTCAGACCTTAGAGGATGACTCCCTTAACCACTCAGCCACAGCCGACAGAACATAGAGTTGTTCTCTGTTTTCTACAGTTTTGCTAATTTGAGCTTTTAATGAGATATTTGTTAATTTTAGAATTTATCTATTTTTGTTTTTTGACTGCTTTTAGCTCTTGTTTTGTTGGTTTTTGCTACAGTTTTACTTGTTTCTGCTGGTTTCAGGTCTTTTTTGCTGCTTTTAGCTCTTGTTTTGTTGGTTTTTGCTACAGTTTTACTTGTTTCTGCTGGTTTCAGGTCTTTGCTACTGTTCTGCTAACTTAAGCTTTAAACTCCATTTTTGCTCATTTTAGGCTTAAGCTTTTGTTTTACTAGTTGTTTGTTGACTGATGCTGTTTTTGAGCTAGAGTTTTTTCTCCTTGTGTGTTGTTTTAACATTTTTTATTTACAATTTTGTAGTACTATCCCAAGACAAACTTTCTGCTGGGGACAYTAAAGTATATTCTATTCCATACTAATTTTAGCTTTAGCTGCTGTTTGTTGAATGACCTGTTATTCTGCTTGGCTTCATTAGTAAAAGAAACAAACTCAAAATTAGCTTTGTGCTAAAATGTCCACAGACTAATTTTTCCTCATGATGCTTTTCATCTAACCGATCGGCTGCCTCGCGGCCACCTTGTTAACCCTTTCCGTACCTGTTTGGGTGAGTCATCCTTGATGAACTCTTCATAGATACTCGCTGCTATCTGGGTTCGCTCCTCTGGACGCTCAGACGTTTGGAATTCCTGACATGCGAGCCAGAAATCCAGGTTTTCCTCACAGAACTCTGACCTTAYAAAGTCCCGAAAAGCCCTTTGTCCGCCTTTCACACAGAAGAACAGAACTCCATTAGAAAATGAGCAGTAACCAACCATGATATTAGTTCTGCGCTGCCTGAGAGCAGACGGAAATTACTTTTCTTGGAAAGGACTGTCTCAAGAGATTCCTCCAAAGAGCTTGTTTCATCCATATCCAACCTGAATACAAGAGAAGACAGAGGTTTATGGATTTGTTCACATTTTTTAATTAGAAGAAAATACAACATCAGGACATTCTACATGAATATTCAGCAGGAACAACTTGYCAAACACCAGCTGATTGTGCTGCACTCTGATGAACTCTGCAGACATTTTAACAGATTAAATACCTTTTTATCAGGTCTAATTATAACTCAAATAAAACTGGTGTAAAATATAAAAACAATAGAATGAAATGATTTAAACATATTTTCTTCAGTAACGAGCAGAGTGAACATATTAAGTGTGTAAGAAACTGTTTATGGTGATATTTTGTATTTGATCATGACCATACTCTGGAACAACAAGAAGATACTGGATGGATGGATGGATGGATGGATGGATGGATGGATGGATGGATGGATGGATAAATGTTGATCCATTTAACCACAGAACAGTTCTTCTCTTTGTCTTGGTTCATTACCTCCGCCAACGGGCGAGGTAATGTTTTCGGTCGCGTCTGTCTGTCTGTCTGTCTGTCTGTCT